GGGGGGGGGGGGTCAGAAAGAAGCGGATTGGGATGAAAAAGATGCCAGCGATTAGATAACGGGGATCTGCGTAAGAAAATGCCTGGCGCGCGTATCTGTGATCCCTGCAGAAATAGAGTTAAAAATCCATCCTGCAGGAAAACCAAACAAAAAAGAAACCAACAGCGAAACGCCCGAGAAACGCAGCAGCACCGCCCGCCGCCTCCACGGCTCCTGCGGCCGCCTTCCGCCACCCAGCAGCCACCGCCGGCACAGCCGCCGCCTCCTGCTGCTGCTGCTCCTCTTCCTCCTGCTGCTCCTCCCGCTGCTGCGGCGCTGGGCAGGAAGCCGCTCGCCGCCTCCCCGCCCGCAGTGTCCCATTGGCGCTGCGGACTTGGCCTCTTTATCTCGGCTTGCTGCTGCACAGCTGCCGCCTGAAGATGCGTCGGCTTTCGCGTGAGGAAGAAGTTTTAAAATAGATGGGTTTTAAGCGGTGCTGCGAGTGCGCGTTGCTGCGTCTTCCGTCCAGAAGCGCTGCGGGCTGTCAGCAGCCCTCCTGCCCGCCGGCACTGTTGAGCTGTTTGAATGGGAGCTGATGAGGAACGTCGTGCTTCGCTTTTATTCTTTAGCGGAAGAACTGAACCCAGCTCCCGTGGGTTCAGTTACAGGTTCGTTTTAAGAGGAGAACAGCAGTTCAGGTTTAAAATAATATTACCTCTTTTTTTTTTTTTTTTTAAACAGGAATGTAGTAAGACTTCATATAGGTAGGTTTCTCATAAAGTAGTGCCTCCTATTTATTTCCATGGAAACTACAACAGATAGAACACAGCAGCATTATTGAATAGAGCAAACTCTCAGCTGCAAAACACTTTTTTCCAACACAGTCACCACCATTAGCTGTGCCTTTTCACCGGCAATAAACAAGAGCCTGCATGCTGCACTCATAACAGGCTGCACCAGTGGAGGTGACCACTGTCACCGCTGTTGAAATGCAGTGCCCACTGCCCCACTGTGCTCACATCCACTGTTTGGTCTCCAGAAACGTTCAGCAAGCATCTATGAATGTCAGTGGCTGCAATTTTTTTCTCACATGGAGGAATTCAATTTAAAACCTTTACTTCATACACACTTCCATGTTAGATGCCATTTTGTAAGACTGCCCCTCTGCTGCCATCTGTCATGCAGTGACAACATGTAATAGAACATTGGTGGGAAGGTTCAACCTCTACTGTCATACCACCACCATCTACCTCTGAGAACAACATCATAAAGCAGGAGGCATTACTTTCGGAGCAACCCTCATACATTACACCTGATGTTTCACTAGTCTATCTTTCCCTCAGATAAGTGGATGTGATATGGCTGGAAAACACTGCTGATTGCATAGGATCATTAAGGCTGGAAAAGACCAGTGAGATCATCCAGTCCAACCGTCAGCCCATCCCACCGTGCCCACAAAACACATCCCTCAGTGCCACATCTCTGCATTTCTTGAACACCTCCACAGACAGTCACTTCCCTGGGCAATCTGTTTGATTGCCCCACCACTCTTTCTGGGGAGAAATTGTTCCTAATATCCAACTTGAGCCTCCTCTGGCACAATTTAAGGCCACTACCTCTCATCCTATTTGGCCCAGTTTCCCACGATGGGACAAAATACAAGGCAGTATTGTAAAGAAGTACTGTAAAGAAGGCAGCCTTGTAGCTGTAATTTAAGAGAATGTTATATCTGCTTGGAAAAAAGCGTGATTCTGTAAATTACAGAGAAGAATTCAAAGTATGGATGCCAACAGTAAAAAAAAAAAAAAAAAGAAATTGCTCTAAGATTTACTTGTTGCCTGAACTGTTGAAATTCTGCGTGAGGATGAGACAGTAAGGTGTTCACTGTAAACCCATAAACATTAACAGTTGTTTTGCTGTTGTCTCCACTGGGAGTACATTTAAAAACTATTTCACATTTCTTTCTTTTTTAAAATAACATGAAACTATATGTGAATAGGTCTGCATTATCCACATAGGAAAGGAAGTGCCCTTTGCCTGACCGCATGCATTAAGGCACGTAGTAAAGAAAACAGAAAGATGCACAAATAAGACAATGCTGTTCACTCCTGTAGCCAGTGGACTAATGGGACCTCAGATCTGCAGAGCATCTGTATTTGTTATTATGTGTGTCTAAATGCATCTTACAGTCTTTTATACCCATGCTGGGCAGTCACGCAGCCAGAAAGGAAGATAAATGCAATTGGTGTACAAATGTACCTTGGTGAAAGCAGGGTGCACTTGTCCCTAAAGCAGGGATTCAGCTATTGCTTTGCCAAGGCTCTGAGGGCCTGAAGCTTCTCCTGCTCCTCCCCACCACTCTTGACCCACACTGTTCACCTCTGAAGGTTGTGCATGATTAACTGTCGTGCAGTGGTGTTAAGGGCTTCAAAATAGGCCCCCCTGGAATTCTGAAAATAGCTGATTTCTGTTCATGATGGCTCTCAGTCTGAGTTCTAAACTCTATTTTTTGCTTGAGCAGTTAGTGCACGTGTAACCACACACAGACATAGCCCCTACAGATGACATCCAGAGTAAATCCACATGCATTTAGGTAGGAGCGAATGGATTAGCTCATACCAAACAAATGCTGTATATTGCATGCATCATGCAAATGCACACATTAACCTGTAGTTGCATTGAAGGAGCTTTCTGCACAGCATGCAACAGTGCACTAGAGAACTTAAAGCAGGTTTACCAAGATATTTCCTTGAGTAAGTTCTTCTCATGAGGTATCATTAAAACTTCTAAAACACATAGTATGAATTGGACTGGATATAGTTTTCTTTGTACCCCTTATCCAGGACTAGCTTCAGAGAGGTCAGCATAGAGGCACAGGTGGATGTGAAACTGAACTACTCTGAGAACCGAAGGACATGCTCTAAGATGCACATGTGCTCAAGGGCTTTGCAGATTTGCATCTCTAAATAGCTTTTTTCCATTTCTACAAGCAAGCAGCAGGAACAGCTGAGTGCTAAAGAAACAGCTGGCCTCCAGTGATAGAGGGTGGCTGTCACTTCATGGTGAAGTTTGCAGACCTTTATATTTAGAAACAGAAGGGAGAGCCATCAGTAGCCACACCCCACAACCTCCTGCTCTCTGTAGCTCACTCACAGCCCGTGCTTTACGATAGGAGTGCCAGTACTTACATTTTTAAATGCTGTCATGCCTTTCCTTTCCAAAATCCATCAGTGGTGTGACATGGCATGTGAGCCTGCTGATGTCAGAACCACTTCCTGTCCTGCACTGCAATAGGGGCAGAGTTCTGATGAGAATCCATACTTACTTACATACTCACCACATAGAATCATAGAATCACAAGGTTGGAAATGACCTATAAGATCATCTAGTCCAACCATCTTCACACTACCACTGCTACCACAAGCTACTAAACCATATCTCGTAGCTCCTCGTCCAGATGTCTCTTGAACACTGCCAGGGATGGCGACTCCACCACCTCCCTTGGCAGGCCATTCCAGTGCCTGACCACTCTCTGAGAGAAAAAGTTCTTCCTTAAGTCTAACCTAAACCTCCTCTGGTACAACTTGCGGCCATTTCCCCAGGTCCTGTTTGTTGCCTCACAGAAGAGGCCAAACCCCTCTTCACCACAACCTCCCTTCAGGAAGTTGTAGAGTGCGATGAGGTCTCCCCTGAGCCTCCTCTTCTCCAGACTAAACAATCCCAGCTCCCTCAGCTGCTCCTCATAAGCCTTGTGCTCCAGACCCCTCACCAGTTTCATTGCCCTTCTCTGGACACGCTCCAGGGCCTCAATGTCTTTCCTGTAGTGAGGGCCCAAAACTGAACACAGTGCTCGAGGTGCGGCCTCACCAGTGCTGAGTACAGGGGATGATCACTTCCCTGCTCCTGCCAGCCACGGTATTTCTAATGCAGGCCAGGATGGCGCTGGCCCTTTTGGCCACCTGAGCACACTGTTGGCTCATGTTCAGCCGAGCATCAACCAACACCCCCAGGTCCCTTTCCTCTTCACAGCCATCCAGCCACTCATCCCCAGGCCTGTAATGCTGCATGGGGTTGTTGTGGCCAAAGTGCAGGACCCGGCACTTGGCCTTGTTGAACCTCATTCCATTCACCCCAGCCCAGTGATCCAGCTTATCTAAGTCCCTCTGCAGGGCCTCCCTACCCTCAGGCAGATCCACACCACCTCCCAACTCGGTGTCATCGGCAAACTTACTGAGGGTGCACTCAATCCCCTCGTCTAGATCATCAATAAAGATATTAAACAAGATAGGCCCCAGTCCCAACCCCTGAGGGACACCACTTGAAACAGGTCGCCAGCTGGACTTAGCTCCATTAACCACCACCCCTTGAGCACGGCCCTCCAGCCAGTTCCTTACCCAAAGGAGTGTGTACCTGTCCAGGCCACGGGCAGCCAGTTTCCCCAGAAGAAGCCTGTGAGAGACCGTGTCAAAGGCTTTGCTGAAGTCTAGGTAGACTACATCAACAGCCTTTCCCTCGTCTACCAGTCTGGTCACCCAGTCGTAGAAGGAGATGAGGTTGGTCAAGCACAATCTGCCTTTCATGAACCCGTGCTGGCTGGGCCTGATCCCCTGGACACCATTTACATGCGCTGCAATCTCACCCAAGATGATTTGCTCCATTACTTTCCCCGGTACTGAGGTCAGGCTGACAGTTCCCTGGATCCTCCTTACGGCCCTTCTTGAAGATGGGAGTCACATCAGCAAGCCTCTAATCCTCTGGGACCTCTCCAGTTAACCAGGAGCGCTGATCGACAGCCGAGAGCAGCTTAGCAATCACCCCGCCAGCTCCCTCAGCACCCGAGGGCGTAGGCCATCCGGGCCCGTGGACTTGTGACAGTCCAGATGGAGGAGGAGCTCTCTGACATCTACTCTTAAAGAAATAATTAGTCCTTACATGCTTTTCAGATTTGTCTCATTACAGCTACCACCTCTTCCTTTCTTTCAGCTTT